AGCGATCCTCCTGCCTCAGCCTCCCGAGTAGCTGGGACTACAGGCATGCGCCACCATGCCCGGCTAATTTTTTCTATTTTCAGTTGTTTGGCTAATTTCTTTCTATTTATAGTAGAGAAGGGGTCTCGCTCTTGCTCAGGCTGGTCTCGAACTCCTGAGCTCAAGCAATCCTCCTGCCTCGGCCTCCCAGAGTTCTAGGATTACAGGCGTGAGCCACCGCGCCCGGCCTGAGAGGGCTGTTATTAACATAATGCAAGGTACCCCTCGAGGATACCTATGATTCCATGTGTGTCTCTGGGTGCATATGTGCATATGCATGACTCCACGTGTGTGTCTATGTGTGTGCATCTATGACTTGGTGTAAGTTTGGGTACATATGCATTTGTATGACTTCATGTGTGTGTCTCTGTGTGCATGTGTATAATTCCACGTGTCTGTGTGCACACACGTGTCCCCGCATATGTCTGTGTGCACATATGACTCCACATGTGTGTCTGCGTGTGGATGTACATGATTTGGCATGTGTGTCTGTGTGCATATGCATTTGTATGACTCCATGTGTGTCTCCGTGTGCACATGTATCATTCCCTGTGTGTCTGTGTGCACATATATGACTTCACATGTATGTCTGTGTGTGTGCACTCATCACTTGATATGGTCTCACAGGTCTCTGAGGTGCTGCTCATTTTTCATCTTTTTCCTCTCTTTTCTTCAAGTTGGCTAGTTTCTATTGATCTCTCTGTAAGTATTAATCTAAGTTAAAGATATTAGACACTTAAATATGTCTCCTATTGAGCCCTCTGGTGACCTTTTAATTTCAGTTATTGTATTTTTCAATTCCAGAATTCCCATTTGATTCCTTTAAAGAATTGTTTGCTGAGATTATTTAAGTCATTATCATCATACTTTCCTTTAATTCTTTAGACGTGGTTTCTATCATTTTTTTCCTGCTATGTCCAACATCTGGGTCCACTTGGATAGTTTCTATTACCTGCTTTTTTCTCTGAATATTGGTCACACTTTTCCTGTTTCTTTGCCTGTCCTCTTATTTTTGGCTGAAAACAGATGTTTCAATTGGCTCATCAGTTGCAGGAAATGTGTCCCTTTAATGCAGAATGATAATGACAGGGAAGGAGCAAAGGGAGCTCTGTACTTTCTGCTCAACTTTCCTCTAAAGCTAAAATTGCTCAAGTCTATAGTAAAGTCTATAAAAGTCTATTAATTTTCATGAGACTGCCGTGCTACCGGCTGTGCTAAGGGGGTGATTATAAAGGTCTATTAATTTTTAAAAACTTGATGTTTCAGGTGACATATTAGAGCAACTTTGAATTCTGTTCCTCCCAGCCAAAGGTGGTTGCTGCT